AGGACGTTTCGGATGCTCTTTGGCCGTCTTGGGGGGTTCCTGAAGGAGCCTCTCGGGCCGTCGTGGGCCACTTTACGGCAGTCTTACGCCGCCTTGAGTGCATCTTGGGCTCGCTTGGATTCATGTTGCGGCGACCTTGGGCGATCTTGGGGTCATCTTGGCCGTTTTGGAGGCATCTGGGAGACCATCTTGGAGCCGTTTTGGCCGTCCTGGAAGCGATATGGACCACGGGAAATGTACTTTCGGCGGCTCTCCAGGTGGCCCGGCGGGCTGGGCCACGTGTTCCACGCCGACTTGAGATCTAACATTCCAAGCACCCGACTGCAATGTGCGGCTGATGACGGAAAGCGCGCACAACGTGCAATCCGTTAGCTGGCAGAAACGAAACCAGGGAATACATTGATGGGGGTTAGCATGTCCCGCCCCAAGAGTCGACTGGTTACTCGAGCAACTGAGATGTGTTGGGCTCGCTCTTGGAAGGCCTCACAAGACGGCCCACCATAACCCAACACGATGGATCTTGCACGCCCTACTTGCGCCCGAACTTGCGGTGACGCTTGGATATCCTCACACAAATTGAACTTCATCGACGTCGTCTTTGTTTCGGCCTTGCCATCACCGGTGATTTCGCGAGGGACGTCCTCACACAAATGTGGTGTTGTCGACGTCGTTTTTCCCGAACTTTGCGATTTTGCCAGGGATACCCTCACACAATAGGGATGCTGTCGACATCGTCGTGGTGTCGGGCTTGCCCCACAATTGCGATTTCGCCAGGGACATTTTCTCACTAAATGACATGCTGCTGACATCGTCTTGGCATCACTATTGCCCCCCACATAGCGATTTTGTATGGGACATCCTCGCAACAATGAGATGTTGTCGACGTCGTCTTGGTGTCGTTCCGACACGGCCCGCGAGCTTCCCAACCGGTGTTTAAGAAGGCTTACGAGGGCCCGAAGACGTCCCGAGAGTCTCCCAAGACTTACCAAGAGGGCCCAAACAATCCCAGATTATGAAACATGTGAACGTTATCTTATTCATTGTTTTGCCGATCGGCGCGGGCCCTCGGACTCCCCCTCCCCCCCCCTGGAGTGGATGGATCTTGGCTGTTTTTTGCCCCTGTTTCGAGCAAGGCGGAGTCTCCCCCATAGGACGCACTGTTGCAAACAGTCGCACTAAGCAGAGGTCTGGAGCCAGACCCCCCCCCTTCCCGCCCAATGTCGAAATGTAGAATAAAGAAAAACGCCCACAATTGGACATAGGCGATAGGAAGAGAAGACATACAAGGAGAAAGATCAGACAAGCCAGCGATCTCGCGCCGTCACAAAGCACGTTGCGCGTTCTGTCCCCGTGTCACGCTGCGCGTCAGCGGCCTCGTGGACGTTTCTTGGGGTTTCCTCGGACTGCTCTCGGGGATGCCCCTCTGGAGCAGATTTGAGGCCTCCTGGAAGCCTCGTGGGGGCTTCTTGGGAGCCTCTTGAGGCTTCCTGGGGGTCTCCCGGGGGCTTCTTCGGGTCTTTTTCGGCGGGGTTCTTGGGTCCTTTTGGAGCCTCCCTGTGCCTCTCGGGGCGGTGAGCTCGACATGTCGGTTCGTGTTTCATCTCTGGGGCCCCTCTTGTGGCGCTTTTGGTGAGCTCGACATGTCGGTTCGAGTTCGATATGTCGCCGCGGACTCCGCCCCGTCCAGGCCGCCGGGGAGCACGACGTCCTTGGGCTCCTCCGCAGGCGTGGGCCCCTCGCCGTCGCTAGCAGCCTGGGGCCCCTCGCGCCCCCGTCGGCCTCCGGCCCCTCGGCCCTCCGCCGCCACGGCCTCGGCAGACCCTCGGCGTCGGCCCGTCGCCGCCGGCCCCCCCGCCGCAGTCTTCGTTGGCTCGACAACAGCTGCGGATGCCTCTCGTCGCCACGGCCCACCAGCAGGTTGTGGCCGATCACCTTGTAGACCTGGCCAGCCTTGAACTTTCCAAAGTTCGTCAGCATCCTGACGCGGCCGCTGGACGTGCCAGCCCCTGCGCTGGGCTCGGCTCGGCCTGCCACAGCGCCCGGAGCTGCAGCCCCCTCGCCTGCCCCGCCCGCGCCGTGCTCGGATCCAGCAGCCGCGCCCTGCTCGGCTCGATCTGCTGGTGCGTCCAGCGCCGCGGTGCCCCCGCGCTTGGCCTGGTCAGCCTCAGCGCCCGGCACCGCGCCCTCTCCCTCGGCCGCCGCAGAGCCCGGGCCGAACGCCTCGATCTGTTCCAGCAGCCAGGCCTCCAGGTGCGCCAGGGCCGCACCTGCGGCCATCCACTCGGCCGCCTCCTGGCTGTCGCCGGCATCCGCAAACTCCAGCAGCTCGTCGTGCTCCAGCACCACCAGGCGCATGTTGGCGACCAGCTGGTCAGTGCCTCCTCCACCCAGTGCCTCCGCACCGCATCACCTGGGCGGCGAGCGAGGGGGGGAAGTGAGAAGGAGAAGGCTCTCTCAGATGGCGGCGGGACTTCTCAGCAGCCCTCGCTGAGAAGTGCGCCCCAGCTGAGTCAAACTTGGGAGCAGTACTGTGACTCAAGGGCCGTCGGCGCACCTGTCTACGACCCCGCCGGCCACGACCTCGGCTCCCTGGAGGGTTTCTTCAACTACGTTGGGAAGAGGGCGCAGCGATCGGAGGCGGACTCGGCATGACGGGGGGGGCGAAAAACATGTGGGCCTCTTGGGAGTGCTCTTGGATGCCTATTGGGGTGTCTTGGAGGCGTCTTGGGCCGTCTGGAGGCCATCTTGGGCGTCTTGGAGCTATCTTTCGAGGAGTCTGGGCCCTCTTGGACTGTCTGGACGGCCTCCTGGGGCTTTCTTGGCAATTTTTGGGGCCCTGCTGGGCAAGAGGACCATCCCAGAGGCCCACGCGGGTCAGCCTGGAAACGCCCAGGAGCGCCCATGAATTTCGGTAAATTCGTGGTCTGGGCCCTAGGGAACCTTAGGACCCCTCCATCCACCCCTCAGAACTGCATGAGCCTTGAGGCACTCGATTTCGTGCTGAAGACAGAGTTGCGGATCTGTGTCATGTTTTTTGTTGATGCAAGAAGTATCTGGGGTTGCCCCCGGAGCCCGAGGATCTGGGGAGCACGAGGAAGCGACAGAGCAAACTGGAAGTTGCCAAACAGTGCTTGCACTTAGAGGTTCCCACTGCTCTCATAAGTCGGCGGCGAGCGAGGGGGGGGAAGTAATAATGACAAGGCCTTCTCAAGCGGCTGGCTGACCTTCTGGAGCAGGCCCTGGACAGGCCGCTGCAGCCCAGTGATCGGCGGCGAGTGAGGGAGGGGGGGGGAGTGAGAAGGAAAAGGTCTTCTCAGAAGGCTCGGAAGCCCTCCGAGCCTTCTGAGAAGTGTTCGGTGTCTTCGGGGAAGGCTCAGAAAGTACTTCTCAGAAGGCCCGGGGGACTTCCGAGCCTTCTGAGCAGGCCCGCCCCTTCGCACTGCCGCCCCGGGCTCGCCGCCGAATCAGGAACTGGGCCTGCACATCGGCCCGGCGGGGCCTGTGGCCGCCCGTCGCCACCGCCCGTCGCCGCACCGCTGTGCACATGCTTCTGACTCTGCGAGGCTCACAGGTCCCGGGCCTCCCAGGTGGGGTCCGAGCAGGTGGGGTCGGAGGTTCGCGCCGTGTCGCCGATGCATCGGCGCTGCGGCTCGATGCAGGGCCCGATTTTCTCCGCGCCGATGTATCGCCGACGTCGCAGTGCATCGCCGATGCATCGACGATGCATCGGCGATGCACTGCATTCGCTTTGCCTTCGGGCCAGGCGGTCGCTTCGTACCAAGTGACCTACGGACCAAGCATTTACCCAATGACCTGAGGCCGCTCCAGCAACTCGTGCCTCCACGAAGGATATCCTCGAAGCTGGATCGTCTCTCTCGGGCAGGCCTGGGCTGAGGATCCATCGCTTCAGAACGTTCCGGAACGCTCTCGGAGCGCCCCAGAATGCTTTGGAAAGGCCGCGGCGCCTGGAGCACCCTCGAGGCCCGTGGGCTCTGAGCGTTTTCCGACGTATCCTCAGCCTGCCTTCGTCGGCTGCGGCCCTCCCCCGCAGGGGGTGCCGCCAGGAGAGGCGCGGGGCCTAGATTTACCGCTCGGGTGGGTGATCGATCTTCGGGGGGGTGATCGATCTTCGGGGACCTCGGTGGGCGGTGGACAGTTCAGTGTTCCGCACGTGTTTGAATCATCGCTGTCGCCGTCTCTGCCGTCCGTCTTCCGATGGCCACCTTCGCTCAAGTCTTGTTCCCAGGGGATGGAGGATTCCCTCCGCCCTTTCCTCGAGGCAGGGGCTGCGGGTGCGTGGGAATCGGCACGGGCGGGCTTCCACGCGGGGACCTCGGTGGGCGATGGATATGTCTATCTTTGGCCTGTTTGGCGCGAAAATGATATCCACCGCCCGCGGGGTTGCCATGACGTCCGTTCCCGGACGGTGGACCTCGATTTATTTCCGCCTCTCAAACGGTCGATCCTCTTCTGAGGCGCAACGGTACGGAACCATCGATATGGAATCGGGAGGGTCGGAACCATCAATTTGGAATTGGCGGTACATCGCCGATGGATTGGCGACAGGCCTCCCGATGGCGAAATTGCACATTCCTGGGCGGGCTGTACTGCCCCAATCGGCGATCAGTGGTCGATCTCCCCCCCCGTCGAGGCGAAACGTCGAGTGGTTTCCTCCTCCTCGTCGAGGCGGACCGTCGAGTGGTAACCCTCGTCGAGTGGTGTTCTCCCTCCTCCCCATCCGAATCTATCCTCATCCGAACGCATCCTCCTCGTGCCTTCGTCTTGCCCACGGGCGCACACTGCTGCTCTGCACCGTCGCTCTGTCTCTCTTCCCCTGCCCCTCGCTCGTCGCTCCCCCTCCTTTGTTTCACGCCGCCGTGTGGCGGCCCCAGAGCACGCGGCGGCGACCCCGTCGTCTTCGTCGTCGTCGTCGTCGTCGTCGTCGTCGTCGTCTTCGTCGTCGTCGTCGTCGTCGTCGTCGTCGGCGGCGGGCCCGCCAGGCGTGCGTCTGGGCCGCCCCGGGCGCGCTGGACGAGGGCCTCCGCGGGGGCGTGCGCGGCGTCCCGCTGGCGCCGCCCCTGCCCGCCCGCTCCTGGGCGCTCGGTGCTCGCGGTGGTGCCAGCGGTTGTGTGTTTCGGCGGCGAGGGAGGGGGGGGAAGGGAGAAGGAGAGGGCCTTCTCAGAAGGTTCGGAAGTCCCCCGGCCTTCCGAGGAGCCTTCTAAGCCTTCCCCGAAGGCAGGACCATCTTCTCAGAAGGCGCGAGGGCCCCTGAGAAGTCCCACCGCCTTCTGAGAAGGCCTCCTCCTTCTCACTCTCCCCCTCGCTCGCCGCCCCGCCGTGTGTTGCAGCCCGGTGCGCAGGAGGTATTTGGGGTGGCCCCCAGTGCCGGGGGGAAGCGGGGGGCAAGAGGAAGCGACAGAGCAAACCGGAAGTTGCCAAGCAGTGTTTGTATTAGAGGTTCTTGCTTCTCTCAGACGTCGGCGGCGAGCGAGGGGAGGAAGTGAGAAGGAGAAGGCCCTCTCAGGAGGCGGCGGGACTTCTCAGAAGCCTTCCCTGGCCTTCTGACCTGAGAAGTGTTCGGTACCTTCTCAGAAGTGCTCTGAGCCTTCTAAGGAGGCTCGCCCCTTCTTACTTCCCCCCCGAGCTTGCCGCCGAGTGTTACTTCGGGCGGGGCTAGGACAGGGATGCATCGTTCCAGAGCGTTCTGGAATGCTCTCAGAACGTTCCGCAATGCTGTGAGAAGGCCGCGGCGCCCAATACATCCTCCAGAACCGCCGGATCTCAAGCATCCCCGTTTTGACCTGGTCAGGTTTTGTCCCTATCCTGGCCTCGTCTGAGTAAGTACTCAGGGGGTAAAGCTACCAATACCGCTGCTCGTCGTGGAGAGCCCTCGTCGCCGCGGCTGAATTCTCCTACTTCTGGTCGGAACGCGCCCCAGAAGAGGTCTGGGGAGTAGCGGCATCGATATCGGTTGGTCCCCCAAGTCCAGCCTCGGTGTTGCGCTCGGTATTGAGCCTCGGTGTTCCAGCTCGGTGACGAGCTCCATTCGGTGCGTTGCGCCCGGTGTTGCCCTCGGCGTGGCACATCGGTGGTGAGCCTCGGTGGTTGCGTCTCGGTGCCGGTGCTGCGCTCGGCGCTGCAGTCCGTGCCAGCGCTGGTGTCGCAGCAGGTGCTGTACCTGAGGGCGAGCTGGGCGAAGCAGCGAGGCTGTGCGAGGAGGGGCGCGAACGGCCAGGCGAGGAAGAGGAAGAGGAGGAGAGGGGCGAGGAGGGGCAAGAAAGGGCGAGGAGGTGCGGATGGCGAGGGGAGGCCCATCTCAATCCGATCGATCCGATCGAGTCGATCCAGTGTCGCGGGCTCATACCCGGCCCGATCCGCTCCGAACTCGTCGGCGATTCGATGCTGGCTGATCCTGCGAGGATGGGCGAGGGGAGAGGCGCAGAGGGCGAGGAGGGGCGAGGAGGGGCCAGTAGGGCGAGGAGGGGCGAGGACGCGAGGGGCGAGGACGCGAGGGGCGAGGAGCGGCGAGGGGGAGGCGAGCTATGGCGGGGGGCGAGGAGACGAGGTGCGAGGAGGGGCGAGGAGTCGAGGAGCGAGGAGGGGGAGGGGGAGGGGGAGGCGGAGGAGGATTAGATGCCGAGATGCGCGAAGGCCTACGGCTCGATCAGCAGAACGCTGGTCATGTCACAAGCCACATTGGCTGGATGCACGCACGCGTGTTCGAAACATTACCAGTTCGAAACGTATCCCTATCCCTGTGTTTGGAATCACCGCACCTCGGTGCCGACCTTAAGGATTCCCTCAGTTTCTGCGAGCACATCCCTAAGGTTGTCCTCGCTTTTTGCTCGCCCATCTTAGGGATAGGGATAAGTTCGAGACTGGTTAAATCTAACCCCTGTTCCTCGCGCCCTGATGCTTCCTTCTGACGGGGGCGACTTAAGAAGCTATGGCCAAATTAAGAACACATGCCATGCGGTTGGTCACGATGATGAGGGTGACCACAGAGGCGATGACGATACCAATTGTGGATCGCCATGCTACTTTTTGCGGGTTCGATGACAGTCATTTGGTATAGTTGACAGTGATGTGGCTGAATTTTGAGTCACCAACCTGTAGAATGAAACCATTGATTTGGCTAGGGCCAGGGCGGGGAGAGGCGTGGGGAATGCAGCGCCATCGGCCTACCCGATTGCCGAACACGCAACAACTATTCCGACTTAGGGACCCCACGTGATAATCTCCCAAACTAATCTGAAAGTGCTCATCGTCATCGTTGTGAATGCCGAGTCTCTTTTCCTGTGTTAACATTGCCCTTTTTCTTCTCGTCCTAGCGGGGGCCCTCCTCCCATTTCCTGGTCTGCATCCTCTTCGTCCTCCTGGCCCCTGTCCCCTATCCACCTCCCCCGCCTCCCTTGCCAGGGCGCGCGAGCCGATGTTTCTCGGTGCTGTCGCCGCTTCTGCCAGCATGCGCGTGTTCTCCGATGGCCAGATCGCGAAGCCGTTGGGGCAACCCCGCGGGCCATGCCGTTGGGACAACCCCGCGAAGCGCTGGGGCGCGTGGGCAACCGTTGGGACAATTTCGAAGGTCTCGAGCTTGTCGCGGCTGCGTTCAAGCGGGAGGCAGCGCGAAGCCTAGCTCTGCCGCGAGCTGCTCCGCTTCAGACCTGGACCTGACTGCTGTCGTGTCGAAGTTCCAGAGCGCCTCCCGCAAGGACACCGGCGGCCCGCGTTCCAGGAATGCTCGCGCAGGCGGCCAGAGGATCAACATGTTCTTCATACATGTGGCCGAAGGGTTTCCTCTGTACCCAAGTCCGACAAGGCCAATCCGGAAGGCAGTGAACGTGAATTGCAGGCCCCGCAGTGCACTCACCGACGAGGCACTTTGGAGTGCTCAAGCGCTGTGCCTGCTATGGTCGGCCGATGATTTTTCTCTGATTCGAACATGAAGTTCGGGTTTTTGTTGGTGGGTTCCCGCTCGAGATGTCCTTCCTGCAAATCACTCACAGTTGAGGTGCTCAAGTGCTATGCCAGCTACGGTGCGCTGATGGCCCGCCGCGGATTCGAACGTGAAGCGCGGAGCCCTCAGGGAGGACCCCCCGCTCGAAATTGTCCAACAGTTTGTTCACCTACGAGGCGCGTTGAGGCGTTCAAGTGCTATGCCTGCTTTGGCCTGCCGACGGCCCGCCTCAGATTCGAACGTGCACTGCGGGACATTCAGGGGGACTCCCGCTCGAGGCTTCCCCACGGTTGATTCACATGCGAACCCTTTGATGTGTTCCCATTGCTGTGCTTGCTTGGGTGCGTTGATGACCCGCCCCGGATTCGAACATGATGCGAGGGGCCCATGCGGAAGGGGTTCCCATTTGAATGTCCCTGTCGCAAACGACGCTTTTGCAGGCAAGCGCGCGCTATGCCTTGTAGGCCGCTGACCCGCCCCAGATTCGAACATGAATTGCGGGGCCTTCATGGAGGGGTTCCCCGCACGTGACTTCTTCACACATTATTCACAGACGAGTATGTTTGGGGTGCTCAAGTGCTATGCCTGCCACTGTGCGCCGATAGACCGCACCGGATTCGAACATGAATTTTTGGGCCCCTTCAGGGATGGTGCTCCCGCGCGAGACTTCCTCGCAAGTCAGTCAGTGACGAGGTCCGCTGGGATGCTCCAGTGCTCTGTTTCCTGTGGTTGGTATCCGTCCAATGACCCGATTCGGATTCGAACGCCAAGTGCGGGGCCCTTCTGGAAGGGGTTCGCTGTCGAGACTTCCCCCGAACTCATTCACATACGAGATTGTTTTGGGCGCTCAGGTGCTATGCTTCCTATGGTGCGCCGATTGCCCGCCTCGGATTCGAACATGAACTGCGGTGCCTCTAGGGGGGTTCCCGCTCCAGGTTTCCCGCATTTCAGTCACAGACGAAACTCCATTGGGCGCTCACGTGCTATGCTTGCTAGGGTGCGTCGATGACCCGTCTCGGATTCGAACATGAAGTGCGGGTCCTTCAGAGAGGGTGCTCCCGCCCGAGATTCTCCCGCAAATCACTGGCAGGCGAAGCTCCATAGGGTGCTCAAGTGCTATGTACCCTAGGGTACGCCGATGACCCGCTTCGGATTCGATCATGATATGCCGGGCCCTCATAGAGGGCGCTCCACCTCGAGAGTTCCTCAGACATCATTCACAGATGAGTGTGGTCAAGTGCTATGCTTGCTTTGGTCGGCCGATGACCCGCTTCGGATTCGAACGTGAGGTGCGGGGCATTCAGGGAGGGGGTTCCCCGCTCGAGGCTTCCTCATTATGAACTCACTGACGAGGCTCCTTGGGGTGATCAATTGCTATGCCTTCCATGGTAGGCCGATGACCCGCTGTTGATTCGAACATGAAGCGGGGCCCTTTGGGAGGGGGCTCCCGCTCGAGATTCCATTATTATTTTTCACTCACAGACGAGGATATGTGGGGTGCTCTCGTGTTGTGCTTTCTATGATGGTCAGATGACCCGTCTCGGATTCGAACATGAAGTGCGGGCCCCTGAAGCAGGGTGCTCCCACTCGAGACTTCCTCACACTTCACTCACAGACGAAGCTCCCTGGGCTGCTCAAGCGCTGTGCCTGCTATGGTACGCCGATGACCCGCCTCGGATTCGAACATGCAGTGGGGGGCCCTTATGGAGGGTGCTCCCGCTCGAGACTTCCTCACACTTCCTTCGGACTGATGGTCGATGATCATGACGGCCTGTTGATAGTGATTATGATGACGATGGTGGCGGCGATAGTGATGTGAGTGATGAGTTATGGTGACGAGTGAGTGCGTGCGTGAGTCAGGATGGTGATGAATGGGTGAGTCAGTGAGTGAGCGAGTGGGTGGGTGGGTGAGCGAGTGAGAGTGTGAGTGAGCGTGAAAAAGGGGGAGCAGGAGGAGCACGGTGAGATCCTGCGTGGTGTGTGTGCGTGTGCAGAGAAAGCCAGACACCGACTCTGGATGCTGGGGGCAAAGGCTTTCTTGAATCTCCTTCTCCTTCCATCACCCCCGTCTCAGCCACGAGCGCGTGCCCTCGGCTGACCGACATCTGGGAGGGACGTGGCCCTCAGGCCGCAGCGCAGCCTGGGCAGGACCAAGCACGAGGGCGTCGGGCGTTGCGTAATGGCCGGGGGCGGCCAAAAGGGGGTGGTGACAGGGGCTGGGGGAGGGCATATCATGGCTGGGGCCATGATTTGTCCCGCATTTCATGGCCCCCTCTTCTTCAGAGCGTCCCCTGGCCCTGCCCCCCCCCCCTCCCCTTGCGCGCCCGTGCCTTGGGCCACGACGCGCCTCCCCCTCTTGGACACCCCCCTTCCCGGATGCCCCCGGAAACGCGGGGTGCACCTCTCGTGCACCTTAGGGCCTCAGAGTGGCCCCCAATTGCCCCCCGGAGGCAGAGGGGGAGGAGGGCCGGGGATCCCCCAAAAGTTCTCGCCCCCCCTTTCAGCCACGCCCAAGGGCGCCCCCCGAAGGCCGAGCGCGTCCCCTGCCCCTCGTGGCCGCCGCCGCCGCAGAAGGGCGCCCCCCCCCCTCCCTCCGCCGCGAGGGCACCCTCCCGAGGTGGCCAACCGCGTCGGGAAGCCTCGGTGTCCTCGAGCCCCCTCCCCCCCACCTGGACCCCCGCCGCGGAGAGGCGCCCCCACGAGGGCCCGGCCCCGAGCGCCACGCGCGTCCAGGAGCCTCGATCCCCGAGCCTCCTCACGCCGTGCAGGGTCCGTCTCGAGCACGCCGGGCCGATTCGACCGCGATTCCCGCCGGCCCGCTCCGTTTCGACTCCGATCTTCCGACGATCCGATGCAGCCCGATGTTCGCATGGCGTTGCTATGCAACTTGGCGCGGCCGACCCGATTCGATTCCGGTTTTGTGCCGACGCGGCTTGATCCGATTTCCCGATTCGATGCTGATTGCAGGGGCAACGTTAAGAGGGATAGCCTTCGACCCGCAGTGATCCACGATAGGGGCTCGATAGCCCACCCCGCTCAGGAGTTTACGGTTTTGCTATCGGGGGCTAACCGCTATTCCATCGGCGATGGATAGCCGATTCCAGCTCGGTATTTCACCCCCCGAGCGGGTCCTCCCCCTATCGTTGCCGGTCATGACCTGATCCTGCCCCTCCCCTCCAGCCGCCGACGCCGCCGCGCGAGAGGCGCTATGCGTCGGGACGGGCGCCGCAGCCATGCTGCTCGTGTCCCTGGACCCCCACCCCCCCGCACGCGCGCGCGCGGCGCGCTGGGGGGCCCGGGCGGACCCTGAGATCCTGGCGTCGCATGTTTGTGAAGGCCGGATGATTTCGCCCGGTCTCGGGCCCCGGGCCCCGCATCGGATCGATCGGGCTGGAGAGGTGCCCTAGAAGGATGAGGTTTGGCTCTGGTCGTTTTCCGAGGACAGGTGCATGTGGAGTAGATTCAGGCTGTCGAACCTTCTCTCTACGTTTCGTTGCTCTCTTCCTCGCTCTGTTTTCTGTTCGTGTGTGTGTGGGTGGTGTGTATGTGTGTGTGTGTGGGTGGGATGTGTCTTCCCGCCCCTCCAACAAATATAATATACACAACAAAAACAGACGAGGGGGACGTCCAGTTTTTCCCAACCATCCCGTGGTGTTGGGTCCTCGTTTTGAAGGGACCGTCCCCGCGTTCCTCTTCTCCTCTCCTCCTCCTCCCCCTCCTTCCCCTCCTTCCCTCCGTCCTCCTTTTTCCATGCGTTTCGCCCACCCAGGACAGCGTTTCGTGGCCCCATAGGGAGCTTCACCGAAGCACCGAGTGGGAGCGCCCGCGTGCGTCCGCCACCGCCCAGCACAGCCCTTGCTCCCTGCAATTCAGCCACCCAGCACAGCGTTTCGTGGCCCCATGGGGAGTTCCACGGAAGGTCCCAGTGGCAGCGCCCGCATGCGTCTGCCACCGCCCAACTCGGCCCTTGTTCCTTGCGGTTCACCCACCGAGTACAGCGCTTCGTGGCCCCATATGGGGGTTCCACCGAAGGTCCAAGTGGCACCGCCCGCATGCGTCCGCCACCACCCAGCACAGCCCTTACTCCCTGTTTTTCACCCACCAATTACAGCGTTTCGTGGCCCCATAGGGAGCTCCACCGAAGGTCTCAGTGGCACCGCCCACATGCGTCCACCACCAACCAGCACAACCCTTGCCCCCTGCGATTCACCAACCCATTACAACGTTTCGTGGCCCCATTCGGAGCTCCACCGAAGGTCCCGGTGGCACCGCCCGCATGCGTCCACTACCACCCAGTACAGCCATTGCTCCCTTCGTTTCACCCATCCAGTACAGCGCTTCGTGGCCCCATGGGGGCCCCACCGAAGGTCCCAGTGGCACCGCCCGCATGCGTCCGCCACCACCCAGCACAATTGCGGTATTCACAACTGCACATGGTTGGGTCCTTCGAAGGTTTGCTTATGCGTTTTCTTATATCCCGGACCCCGCATATAGCGGACTCTGGCTTAGCAGGGCTTGGCAGGGTTTTGCAGAGCTAACCAGGGTTGAGCAGAGCGCGGTGGGCCTATGAGTGTTCACCAGGGCTTAGCAAGGCTTAGCAACGCTTAGAAGGTCTGAGCAACGTCTGCCAGGGCATAACAGGGCGCACACGGACTTAGCAAGGCTTTGCAGAGCTTGCAAGGGTTTAGCGATGGCTCGCAGTGCTCAGCAAGGCGCGCCAGGACTTTGCAGGACTTTGCAGAGGTTGCGGGGGGGGGGGGCGCAGTGCTAATCAGGCTCGGTCGGGCTTCGCGCAAGGCTCGGTCGGTCGGCCGAGGCCTGAGCAGGACTTGCGAAGGCTGGGCAAGCCTTGCCGGTTTTTTATAGGGACCAGCACAGCTCAGCAAGGCATAAGGCTTCGCAAGGAGCAGCAGTGCTAAGCACAGCTCGCGAAAGGCTGAGCAAGGATCAGCAAGGCTCCGCAGGGCCTTGCAAGGCCTTCCAAGTCTAACTGGGGTTCGCAAGGTCTACCAGGCGTAGAAGGGCTCAGCAATGCTTAGAAGGACATAGCAAAGCTTACCAGGTCTGAGCAGGGCGCACCAGGATTTAGCAAGGCGTTGCAGAGCTGGCCAGGGCTTTGCAGGGGATGGCAGGCCTTTGTCGGTCTTAGCAGGGCTTACCAGATATTCGCAGGGCACACCGAGGCTTACCAATATCTATCAAGTCTTTGCAGGACCCCGCAGGGCTCAGCAAAACCCAGCAGAGCTTAGGGTTCTACAAGGGCTCGCATGGCTGAGCAAAGTTTGCCCAAGGCCGAGCACGGGTCAGCAAGGCTTAGCAGGACGGAGCAATGTTTGCCGAGCTTAGCTTTGCTTAGCAAGGCGTGCTAAGCTTGGAAGGGCTTTGCAGAGTTTAGCAAATTATAGTCAACAGACCAGGTCCCTGCAGGGCGCACAAGGACATATCAGGCTTTTCTGTATAACAACCCGAGCCGACCAGGATTTTGCAGTGGCTGGCAGGCCCCCGTCGGGTTTAGCAGGATTTCCCCAGGACTTAGCAACGCTTGGCAAACTTTACCAGGTCGTAGCAAGGCTCACAGGGTTAAGCAACAACCAGCAGGGCTTAAGGCTTGACGAGGTGTGGCATGGCTGAGCACAGTTGGCCACGGTTGATCAAAGCTCAACAAGGTTTTAGCAGGGCTGAACGGCAGCATGGCTGAGCTTCTGCAGGCGGGACCAACAGAAGACCCTCACCGCCACGATGCAGGAAATCGGAAGAGACTGGGTACATGCCCCCCCCGCAGTGAGTCTTCGAAATTCCAAGGCCACGCCTGCTCGCAATGGGTTGGCACTTCCAGGACCATGCCCATTGGAGGGGGCATTTTTTCCTGTCGATTGGCAGTTTTTTCTAGATACCTTCAGACCGCGATGGTATCGATGACGCAAATATCGTGTTGCGTAGCGGTGCTGAACAGGAGGGTGATGAAAATGCGGAGGACAAAGAATCTGTGGAGCCCATTAAGCGCGAGACCTGCGCGTTTCGTGTAACAGACCGCGTGCTCCACAACCCCAGGCATCGTCGTCGTTCGTCGTCGCGACGCCTCCTGTGCATACGCTTTCCTCTCCTGGCCAGTGAGCCGTATACACCGATCCTCGGCTCCGGGGGGGGGAGTCGGCGAAGTGGGGCTGGCCCTCCGAGAAAACGAGAAGGATGTCGTCGGTCGTCTTTGTTTGTCATTCTCGTCGCCGCAATCGTAGTTTTTTTTCGCTGTTCTTCCTTTCCTCGTCCTCCCCCCTGTCCTCGTCTTCCTCGCCGCCATCGTCGTTCTCGCCGTCGTCCTTTTCGTCGTCGTCGTCGTCGTCGTCGTCGTCCTCGTCGTCGTCCTCGCCGTCGTCGTCCTCGTCGTCGTTCTCGTCCTCGTCCTCGTCTTCGTCGTCGTTGTCTTCGTCGTCCTCGCGCCGTCGTTGGTCTAGTCGTCGTCGTCGTCGTCGTCGTCGTCCTCGTTTTCGTCTTCGTCCTCGTCCTCGTCCTCGTCCTCGTCCTCGTCGTCCTCGTCCTCGTCTTCCCCGCTCCGTCGTTGGTCTAGTCGTCGTCACCGCCGTCGTCGTCCTTTTCCTCGTCCTTGTCGTCCCTGTCTTCGTTGCTGTCCCCTCCTTTCGCCGCCCTGGGCAAGGCCCTGCGGCGCGGCCGCAAGCGGGCCGGGGCGGGCGCGGCCTCGGACGGCTCCAGGCCGCCCAGTTGCCGCTGCCGCCCTCCGCCGCCGCCGCTGCTGCTGTCGGCGTCGCCGCCGCCGCCGCTGCCGCTGCCCTCGTCCCTGTCGTCGTCCCTGTCGTCGTTCCTGTCGTCGTCGGCGTCGGCGTCGACGTCGACGTCGTCGCTGTCGTAATCGTCGTAGTCGTCGGCGGCGTCGTCGTCGTCCGAGGGGCAGCGACAGGGGGGGGGGAGACTGGCCCAAAGGGGGGAGGCATCGGCCCCACTCGCCCGTGCATCGCCAGGCGGTGCCTGGGTGCCCCGCCCCGCCCAGGAGCGCGCGGTTTCGCTGTCGGGGGCCTGTCGCCGACCTCTCGTCGGCGACGCGTTGCTGATTCGGGGTCGTGTTTCCCCCTGGACAGGTGTGGGTCCCCAGGTCGGTTCCGCTATCGAGGGCCGTGTTTCCCCCCTGCACCAGTCCCCACCCTCTCCTTCCCCTTCATCCTCGCGATCGTCGGCGAGCCGGCGGCGTCGTCGCCCTCGTCCTCGACGTCTGCCGCATCGTCGTCGCGGTAGTCGTGTTCGTCGCTGTCGACGTCGTCGTCGGCGTCGGCGACGGCGTCTTCGCCTCCGTCGTTGTTCTCTTCATCGCCTGAGTCGTCGGCGGGGGCGTCATCACTGGATGAGGAGAGGGTGGTGGGGGCTGGAGGAGAGGGAGCGCGGAGGAGGACGACTGCTCGAAGAAGCAGAAGGAGCGCAAAGACGGATCAGGTCGCGTGGATCGGCGCGCTGCGTCGCCAAGTCAGGCGACACCGGCTCCACGCCTCGCCCCGATCCGTGGATCTGGCGCCCACGCGCCAGATCCACGGGTCCGTAATCCATGCCCGCGTGTGCCTTGGGCGGCACGTTCGTCGTCGCCATCGTCGCCGTTTTGCCTCCGTCGCCGCCGTGCTGTTGTCGTTTTTCGTGTAGCGTGATCTCGTTTTCGTCGCCTGCTGTTCGCGCCTGTCGCTGGCATGGTCGCCACGCCCTCGTCGACGTACGTACTCACTTTCGCCTGCGCCGTCGCCAGTCAGTCGTCGCTTTGTCGATGTCGACGTTCTGCTGCCAGTGAGCCGCCGTTCAGCCAGGGTTCGCCGTGCACGACGACCCGCAGACGACGGCTGCGAGAAAGACAGCGAAATTGACATTGCCGACGACGACGACCGACGATCTCGTCGTTGTTTCTTTCACCGCGGGTTCATTGGAGCCCCTGACCACTTTCCCGGGATAGATATTTTTGCACTGGGTGGGCTTCTGATGATTGCCTCGGGGTTTGGAAACGCCCCCTGGGGGCAGAGCTCTGGTAAAGACGCGAGGATCGAATCAGTAGCGACGGCGCCGACGACGAGGCTGACGGTGATGCTGGCGACGCAGACGACGTCGACGACCGAGACGCCTCCTGCGTCCGCCTTGACGGGCAAGCACGTGCCTGAGGGCCAGCGATGGAGAGGGACGGGCTCTGGAGGAGAAACATCGAGCTGGGATCGGGGATACGTCGCCGATGGCGCGGCGATGGGCCCCCGATAGCAAGTTCCCACGCTCCCTTGGCGGGGTGTGCTGGTGGGTCGCGCCGCGACTGCCTGGCGGTCCTTGCGGCAGTCGGGTGTTCCTCGACGGGGGGGCAATCAACGCGGGGTGAAGAAGCGTTCGCCTGTCGTGCATCCTCTGGGCCCGCTGGCAGTCTACGGGCCGTTCCTGAGTGCGACGCCCACTTCGACGCCCACGACGCCCACGCATCCGCCGCCGACAGTACCGCCGACGGTGCCGACGCCTTCGGCGGCGCGACTCCGCGCCGCCGCTCTCTGGGGTGCGGCCGGCCACGGCCGCCGCCTTTCCTCGTTCCTGGCTGGAAGAAAGGTGGGGGCCCGCGGTTCGCTCCAGCCCCCCCAGCGCGCGCCGAGCCCACCCAGCTCGGCGAGACTCCCGTCTTCCGCCCTCGACCCCCCCCCCCCATCCCCGCGCAGGAGGACAGCCCCACCCCCCGGGTCACCCAGCTTCGCGCATCGCACCCCGCGATGCTCGGCGCCCGATGATCTTCGCGCGTCTCGCCGGGCTAGAGCGCGACGCACGCTTGTCCTCGCGTCTCCTCGGGCGAGGGAAAGGGGGGTTACGGACTCTGCCGCCGCAGCTGGTTTCGGCTCAGCCGCCAGGCGCATTCCTCGATGGCATTGGCGCTGCCAGCTGAGTGAGCCGACCCGCGAACCCCTCTTCGCTCAGGGGCAACGTTAGGGGCAGGATCGACTCAGGGGGGGATGCATCGACCCCCACTCGCCCGTTGTCGGAAACCGGACCATCTACATTGCCAGTGGCGGGCTGTTTTTCGATCCCATGACTGTTTGAGAGTCGGGGACGACGTCGTGGTGGTGTGGAGCATCCTTTTTTCCTTGTCTTCCCAGGGCAGCGCCGAAGTGTGTGTACATGTTGATCCCGTATACGCCAGGATCTGCTTTCCGGTGCAAGAGCCAGTGCAGGGCCGGAAAACGCGTCGGTGTGTGGAGTTTGTTTTCTCACATTTCACGCCAGTGTGGACCCGATCGCCCACCCCGCCCTTGAGCGTGTGGACTCGCCAGCAGAAGCCTGCCGCCGATCCATCAGCGATGCATCGCCGCTTCAAGGTCGAGTCTTTCCCCGCCCCCTGAGCTGGTCTCCCTCTCTGTCGCCGCCCCTCGGGTTTGGACGAAAGGGGCGTTCGGTTTCAGTCGGGCATGTCCCTCTACAGGAGGAAGATCCAAACACAGGCAAACATAGTCCTGGGGACGATCTTCCGATTATGTTTGACTATTTGGGGATATGTTTTGGTATGTGCTTGATTTGTCTCGCAGGATCCGCCTGTAGGAGGACATGCCCGACCTAAAGTTAGGTAACGGGGGGGTACTAAATCTGCTGCAAGCAGTTGGTTTCGGCCTCGCCGCCGGGTGCATTCCCCTATGTTTTCTGGCGCATCTGGCGCCAGAGAAGGCAGCTAGTGGCGCGAGCTGATCCGCATACCCCCCCTTGGCCACCCCCCCTTTCGCCTGCCCCGATCGTCGTCGCCGTCGCAGTTATCGTTCCCGCCGCCCCGCTCGTCGCCGCCATCGTCGATCGATCGATCGCCCCTTTCGTAAGTCCCGATCGTCGTCGCCGTCGCCGTCGCCGTCGCCGCCGCCACCGTCGTCGCCGCTGCCGCTGCCGCCGTGCCGACGCCGACGCTGCGGCCGCTATCGCCGTCGCGCCGCAGCCGCCGCGGCGCGTCGTCGCCGTCGCCGCCGCCGCCGCCGTCGCGGCTGCCGCTGCCGCCGTACGCGCCGCCGACGCGAAGAGGCCCCGCGCCGCACCGACCGGCCTGCGGGGCCGCGGCGACTGCTGCGGCCCAGGCGCGCGCCTGGCCGCGCGCGCCCGTTCGGCGCGCCGGCGGCAGGCGGCGGTGGCGGTGACGACGTCGGCGACAGCAGGCGACGGCGCGAGGTCGGCGGCCGCGGCGGCGTGACGGCGCGGTAACGCGGCGCCGATGGCAGCGACGGCGCGACGGCGCGACGGCGCGGCGACGGCGGCCGCGGCGGCGACTGCGCGACGGCGCGGCGGCGGCGACGACAGCGGCCGCGGCGTGGGCTGCCGCGGCTCGACCGCGATAGCGGCCACGGCGTCGACGATAGCGGAAGCGGAGAGCCCGTCGCGGCACGGGCTGCCCCCCCAACCCTTGACGCGCTGGTCGCGTTTGTTGTTCCACGGGCGATCGTCGGCGTTATCGCTTGGCAGCCAAAGTGGTCGGCGTCGTCGGCGTCGCGCTGTTGCCGCCGCACTGCCGTCGGCGTCGTCGGCGTCGATGTCGGCGGCGAATGCAATTGGCGTCGTTGTCGTTGTCGTCTGCGTCGGCTGCGTCTTTACCGTCGTCGGCCTTGCTTGCGACGACGGCGTCGTCGCGGGTCGAGGTTTGAAGGTCGGAGGCCGAGGTTTGACGGTCTTGATTTGCGTCGTCGTTCACATGGGCATCGTCGGCGTTTGTCCTCCGAAGGAGTCCACAGAGGCTCTGAGAAGGTGGAGGGAGGTCCTTGCGCGTTCGAAGGAGGGTACACGCGAGTTCTTGGAGGTTCACGGGGGTGTCCAGGAGGTTCTAGGGACTGCACGAGGTTCTAGGGGCCTCACAGCTCTACGGACTTCTAGTGTAGCCTAGAAGGGAGACTGACTCCAGGGGCTTTGGTGGAGTCCAGGGGTTTCGAGGAAGTTGGGGATTGTCCATGGCTTGGTGATGATGATGATGATGATGATGATGATGATGATGATGATGATGATGATGACGATGATGATGATGATGATGAGGAGGAGGATGATGATGATTATGATGTTGATGATGATGATGATGATGATGATGATGCTGATGATGCAGATGATGATGATGATGATGCTGATGATGATGATGATGATAGATCCGTCGTCCCAACCCCATTGCTGCCAGCATTCCGTGGCCGTGTGGGCTCGGCTCTTTCTGATGGCTCAAGACATTAATGATCGGCCGTTCATGTCCTTCGGTTCGCTTGCTTCGGCGGCATCCAGGCCTTTGTGTGTGCTGCGGCGGCCAACCTTGTCGGGAGCGTGCGTGGCGCTCTGCTCCTAGTCTTCTGGATCGGCGTCTCCGTGGGGTTCCTGCTCGGCCGCTCTAGTCTCTTCAGTTGCCGACGGAATGGTGCTGAAGGCAGGGCAGCGGATGCTCGTGCAGTGGGAGCGTGGCAAGTCTCCCCGAGTACGTCTTCTCATCGTTCCCGCCTACCGCCGAGGAATTCCAGTCAGCGATGGAAAGGACAGTTCCAGCGACGGTGGGAGTGGAGTGTCTATGGTGGGCGTCCACGCCCGACGGCGATACGTATCCACACATGCTGCACGCCAAAGGAGTGTACAGCGCGATAGCGCTCGATCGGAGGGGCCGTGGACACCCCGCTTCGATGATTGGACGCCAGTTCGACACCGAGGCCGAGCCCTACGGCTCGGAGTGGAACCCGTCCCCCGCGTTCTTCCTCGAGTGCTTGGAACTCGTGACAGGGATGAGGTTCGACGTGATGTTGCGGACGGCCCTCGCGCACTCCGACGCCCAGGAGGAGCCCGAGGCAGAGGAGCCAGGGAGGCCAGCCCAGGCTCCAGCGCCGAAGAAACCCAACCAGACGGATAAGTCATCTCACCACAGGCTCTTGAAGAACCTGGCGAGGTTATTGAGTTGCCACCCGATGTTCACGTAGAGGAGGGGTTGCCCGACACGTTTCCAGATCGCTGGTACGTTGTGGGAGCTACTGGTGGCAAGTACCTCGGGAAGATCACGGATTTGAGCGCCATGCTATTTCTCACGATGTCGGGCATCGGCTTGGTTTTGTCCCACGGCGATGCGGTGATTTACTCCACCAAGGCGCCCAAGTAAACGTCGTTGGACGCTCGAGCGCTGGGAATCCGCGAGACGTCAGAAGAGGGCAGTCACCTGAGCTGGAGGGGCGCGGTCAGCGAGTTCTCCGAGACGGAGTGGCCGAAATTCTTCGTCTCAGGTCCGAGGACGATTTTCTGGGTTACGATCTCTCTCTCTCTCTCTCTCTCTCTCTCTCTCTCTCTCTCCGTGACCATGATGTGGCCCCGCGGAGCCAACGCGCCAAGTGACGTCCCGAGGTTGGCCTGACCGCGGGTGATCAGTCAGTGGTGGATCACGAGTTTGTTGTTGCCGACTTATACAGTTGGCTGTAGTGCACGATCAATGGAATATCACCGATCTGGCGTGCATGGAGCTGGTGCATCGGAAGTTGCAGATGTGCGAGCACAAGCATCGTGAGCGAGCCATCGGTGCCACCCAGGGCGACGAGCCCCTCGGGGATGCCCATCTCGACCTGGTCGCGGGGGAGACGCGAGGCCTGGCAATGGTCTCGCCTTCCCTTCTGTCAGAGAAGTTGAAGACGGAGGCCGCCATCCTGAGGGAGCGGCGGAAGACGACGGAGGAGCGCGCCGAGCATCAGGCCTCGGCAAGTAGCAAGGAGGGCAAGGGCGGCCAGGCGGTTCCACAAAGCTTGGTCGACAAGCAGCGCCCGGAGATCGCGAAGTTGACGGCTCAGATCGCCACCGCCGGCACGGCCGGAAAGGCGACGAGCTTGGCCGCCCGCTTGGCGGCAAGTGAGCCGCCCCTTTTTCCCGTGGTCGCGCAGCGGGATCCCTCGCCCACGCCGCTGCGCGCGGCGTCCGCGATCCTCGAGTCACCGAGGCTTGACGCCGTGGCGGCTCCGGGACGCGGACGCAGACGACGGCCTGTTCGGAATGCCTCTGTCGGCTCTTGGATGTTGGAGCGCCGCGCGGCGGTCAACTGGCTGCGCGGCAGGGAGGGCGGCCCCGACTTCAACTCCCTTTCGCTCGTGCGAGTGTTCCGGACTTGCGGGGCCGCCTGGCCGCCTGGCTCCGATAGGCCCGCCGCCCGTGAGCTCGGCGGCAGCTCTGAGTAGGCTGCGCCGCAGTGTCCCGGGCTACCTCGATGAGCCTGCGAAGCCAGCTGCGTTCGCCGTCGACTCGGTCGCCCTTCCACTGGATGGCGTCAAGGGCAACCTGGCGAGCGCCTGGCTGGTGAGGCGAGCATCTTGTGGCGCGGCTGGAAAGCCAGACCCTTGCGCCCGAAGGGGGTGCGTTCTTCGGCAATCCGTCTCCACTTTGACGAGGTTCTACTTCGAGACCAGTTGTCTTGCTGCGAGTTTTGGAGGCGCCTCTCCAAGGCTGAAGTGATCACCTTCGGAGAGGACGCCGCCTGCACGATCGCACCGTTCTGCGTCGCAAAGTCCGATGGGAGACGCCGCCTGGTCATTGCGAGGAAGGTCAACTCTTGCATCCACGATCCTGCCACGGTGGAGTTGCCGACTGCTGGAGTGTGGAGCGGGCTTCGCACCCGCGAGGGCGATGAGTTGGTGGTGGAACAAGTGGATATCGAGGCCGCCTTCTACCGCACGGAGGCGCCAGCGGGGTTGTCCGTTATCGCGGTATTGCCCAGTGTCCTCGTGTCGGACTTGGCGAAGATCGATCCGTCGTCGCCCGTGGAGATGATCAGTGGGAAGCGGACCGCTACCCGCCTGGTCGTCCTGCCGACGGGCTGGAGCTAGCCCCCTTACTTCTGCCATCACCTCGCCCTGGCAGATGTCTTGAAGGCGGAGTTCCGCGAGGGGGACGTGATCGGCGACATGCTCGCAGCGAAGGACGTTGCCGTCAGCCCCGCGGTCGCAACGCGTGGACGGCGCGGCGGGCGCGCATCGGCATCGCCAGCGGGCGCGGGGCGGCGCTGCAGCAGTCGAGCGCGAGCTGGAGGCGGGCGGTCTGCGCTGCAAGGGCATCGCCACCACCGCGGACGAACGTGCCCCCGCGGGCCTGGTCTTCCAGCGAGCCACGGGCGAGGCACGCTTGTCGTCAATCCGCCCGTGGAAGATGCATCTCGCACTGCTGGGGCTGGCGTCTCAGAAGTATGTGCCTGGGCGCGCGGTGTTCCAGCGTTTCGGCCACTGCAAGTGGGCTGATTTTTTGTGGGGGGCCCTCCTTTCCGTCTTCAGTTCTGAGCGTCGGTGCGCGCGCAAGGCGGGGGTCAACGCGTGGCGGCCGCGGCCCGACGTGGCCTCCGAGCTGCGGGCTGCGGGCGCGCTGCTGGGGCTGGCCTGCCTCAGCGCGAGGCGCCCCGTCGACCCCCTCGGGACCAGCGCGGGCGCCTCGACTGGGAACGGCGACCCTGAGGGCACGCTCTTCGGCGGCATCGGCGTCGCCGAGCGCCCCTGGCCCACGGAGGCGGCGCGGGGCGCCGCGAGGCTGTCCGCGCTCTGGCGCTACCTCGTGGCAGGTGGCGCTGCGGCCCGCGATCATGCCTTCTCGAGCCAGCTCGCGGCAGGCCCCGGGCGGGTCAATCACGACCAGGACGAGGGCGGTCCTGAAAAGGTGATCACCTGCGCGGGTGAGAGTGCTCCCGACGGCCTGAACACTGACCGCGAGACGCAGGGCGACTTCGTGGGCCTCGACGCCCACCTGATCTTCCCGCTGGGCGCCTGGACCTCCGCCCCCTTTCGGGCGGTGGGCTCGGCCTGAGAACATCCTGAGGCTTGAGGGGCGGGGGGCCCAGCTCGGGGCTCGGCGTCGGCGTAGAGGCGCCCGACCAAGAGGAACGATGCAGTTTTTACTCTGCGACAATCTGAGCTTAGCTTAAACCTTGATGAAAGGAAGAGCGTCATCTCCCCTTCTCGACTCCTCGTTCCGCGGCTTAGCGGCCGCGCGTGCGTTCAAAGGCTCGACCGTGGCCGTCCGTTGGCCCCCGAGCGAATGGGGCAGCAGCGACGAAGCTTCCCGCGCTGTGGCCCCGCCCGTCGGGCGCTTCCGGCTGGGCCCCCGCGGCGTCGGCAAGGCCAGGGCCGCCTTCGAGAGGGCGATGCTCGATGGGGTCGGGCGGCTCGGCTGCCGCGAGTTCTACCCCGACGGCAAGGGCGAGTGCGCCGAGCTCGGCATCCAGCACTTCCTGGTGGAGGGGGGCGCCGACGCCTGGGGCCGCGTTGCGCGCGACTGGTCGGGCGACGGCCTCGACGCCGAGAGCTTCCGCATTCCACGGGGCAGCGGAGGCGCAGCCAGCGCGGGCGCTCCGTCGCCCTCATGCCGCGCGGCAGGTCGGAGCCACAGGGCCCTTCTTCGTCATCTACGCCGCGCGCATTGCGGGGAAGCCCCGCCAAGCTCCGCTGAAGGCCGAGAGGGCGAAGCGGCGAGCGCGCGACGCAGACAGCAGGGCCGAGGCCGCATAGTTTGGGCCGACGTATTTGCAACATAAACGCCCAAGAGTAGCAGCACGAAGAAGTTACCAGGGGATGGTTGCCCTGTTCGTGACGTGTGCCAACCTCGATTCGGTGAAGCTTGTCACCATGGTCGGCCTCGACTTGCTGCTCGCGCAGCACTTGGGCCACCTGTGCTGTGAGGGGGATCTCGGGCAGACGGGCTCTCGGCTGCTGGCGGCGATCCAGCACTATAGGCCAGACCTACCGAAGGCCAAGGTCTGCGGGCCGCCCCGGGCGCTAGCGGCACTTCGCGGATTTCGCCGCCGAGGGTTCGCGGGCTCGCCCGGCCCCATCCCGAAGCCCGCGGTGTTCGCCACGATCGGGGCCAGTATCCTCAGGCGGGGCCTGGAGTTCGCGGCTGCCCTGGCGATCGCGCGGGGCGCGATGCTCCGCCTGCCGGGCGATGCGCTGGCGATGGCCCCCGGGGCGTTGGTGGGCCCAGGGCGAGGGGCGCGCCCCAAGTGGGCACAGTTGTTGTGCCCGAGAGAAGTGGGGTCTCGGAGCAAGACTCGAGGCTTCGACTCGACTGGGGCGTGGCCCTTCGGAGCGTGCTCCGGCAGGGGTCCTCCTTCCTCGCCAAGCTCCGCGCCGTGCGACGCCCGTTGGAGCCGCTCTGGAGCTTCGCGCCCCGCGCGTTCAAGGTTCAAGTTCGATCAGTGTCTCATGCTGGTCTGCTACAGCGAGACCGTCATCCCGTGCTAGGTGAGGCACGGGGCTGCATCGCACGCGGTGGCCACAGACCGCGCCCCGCTGGCAGAGGCGCAGTCCATCCTCAGGCACTCGGGACAGCAGCCGGTCGCCAGATGCGCCAAGGAGATCAGGGGCCCGTCTCTGCTGAACAAGGCGCCCGAGTGGATGGCCGGTTTCGCGGAGGAGGTCGAGGCCAAGTTGGGCCAGCTCTTGCGGAAAGGGGGCCGCGCTGAAGATTCCGGGAGAGCTCCGAGCGAGGATCTAGAGGCCCTCCGCGGGTTCGCTCGCGCGGGCCGCCTGTGCCGCCAGCGCCGTGGCTCTCTGATCGCAGAGCTCGAGTTCTCGCGCGGCGAGCTGGCCAGAGCTGCCCCGACCATCTCTGATCACGGCGCCCGTTGGATCAATGCCAAGTATCTAGCATCTCCTCTTTTGAGGCGCCGCCTGGTGGGCTGGATCTCATCCCGATCGGTTGCGGCAGCTACGTTGGTTTGGCAGTCGCTCCGTTTAGACTGCAAGTTGTCCAGGCCCGCCTTCTGTCGCAGCCAGCGGGCGAGCAGTTCCACCGTCTTTCGCCATGCTCGCTCGGGAGTGGTGGCATGCATCGCCCAGTGCACTGCGTGTTCTTTGGCCTCGGGTTGCCTGCCTTGGCTGGGGAGCCGCGCAGATGCGGGGTCCTGTGCCTGTGTCGCCGTTCGTTGATTTCGGAGCTAGAATGGCAGCTAGCTCCATCAAGTGCATTGCTGAAGGCCTCCCCAGACGCGAGATGGATTTATTTTTGGCATGGCCGGCCAGACTGCCAGCTATGAGCAGTCGGGCGAGGCGCCTGGACTCATCGCGCTTCGAAGCAACATGTCGCCTGCAGCATCGACGTCCGAAACGGCTTTGTATCCGTTAGTTGTTCGACGCTCCGTCTGGCCACGGCTCGGTGAGAGCGGATGCGGCATGATCCGTTGTCCCAAGCCCATTGTCTTAGCCAGCATTCCGTGGCCGCGGGGGCACGCTCCTTCTAATGGCGAAAGACACCCGCCCGCGTCCACTCTAACTCGCACCCCCTGCGGGGTCAAATGTGCTCGTGGATACCTGACCAGCGCAGGGCGAGGCGCCTGAACTCCTCGCGCTTCGAAACAGCATGTCGCCTGCAGCATCGACGCTCGAAAGTTTTTTTGGGGTGAATATGAGTATTTCGACGTTCCGCCTTGCCACGGCTCGGGGAGAGAGGATGCGGCATGCTGATGATGATGATGGTGACGAGGGTACTGAAGATGATAGAGCTGTCGGTGATGATTATGAGGGCGATGCTGCTGGTGATGGTGATGACATCGATGAGACTGACGGTGATGATGATGATGGTGCTTGTGCTGATGACGACGACGGTGATGACGATTACGACGATGCTGATGACTGCGATGATCATGGTGGCGCTGTTGGTGCTTATGATGATGAGGATGATGATGCTGATGATGGTGGTGGTGATGATGCTGGCGATGCGGATGATGATGACGATGGTGAATGGTAATGGTAATGGTGGTGTCGATAATGGTGTCGATGGTGATGATGCCAGTGACGATGATGATGCTGATGGCACTCGCGATGGTGAGGATGGTCCTGGATGCACATGCATGTCGATCCCTTTTTTGGTACACGTTCTCAATGGACACGATCTATGGTCTGTGCAATCTGTTTCCACTTTAGCGGAGGAGCTGGGACTGTGCCCGCCGCGCACCTGCCAGTGCGCGAGCTCACGGGGCGCCAGCGAGCGCGTTGCTCTCGAGCGCCTGGTCGCCCAGCAGCTGAAGGGCTAGGCCGGAGGCGCGACGGTGCACGGCACAACGTTCCACGTTAACATCGTGGTGCAGTTTGGCTTCGTCGTTGCGGTGCTGGTCGCCGCCGTGGTCTTCGGGCGTTTTTGCTTTGGGCGCTCGCTACCTTCGCAGCCTGTCTTGAGCAATGGCGGCTGTGGGCCTCTCAGCAGCGATGGGTGCGCCGGCGTCTCGTGCGGCGGTGTTGTCGTTGTTTGCGGCGGGTCGCAATGTGCTGGTGCGCTATGATGATGGCCAGTGGCGCGCGCGCATCTTGCTGGCGCGGGTGACCGAGGCCAAGTGTGTGATCGACACCCGTGATCGCAATCTCGATGAGGAGGATTGCGGGTCCGCGAACAGTGACATCACGGGCTTGAGACGGTAGCATCCCCGCCAGCCTGCAAGGGGAAAACATCTACAAGTTGTAGCGCTGGCCAGGAGCCTCGTCTGGGCACCCTGCGCGGGCTGATGGGGGAGGCGAACGGCCTGGTGCAGCTCGCGGGCGGTGGGGCCGCTGGCGTTCCTGCAGGGCCAGGGGTGTGGCCGTTCGCGGAGGCCAATGCGACTTTCGCCATCGGCGACGAGTGCCCCGCCGCCCCAGAGGCAGCGCTGGTCTCTCGTGGGCTCGTGAGGTCAGGCACGGAGGTGCTGGGCGCCGAGCGGGCGGTGCGCGGCAGGGTCGACGAGTGGAAGGAGGACAAGGCCAATTCCGTGGGCGCGAGTGTGCTGCTGGGCCAGTTCGGCCCGACGGGCAATTGGCTTTGGCCTTGGTCAGGTGCAGCCGAGAAGGTCAACGGCTTCGCGATTGCCCACTGGCCGGTGAAGGTGCCCCGCGCGACAACGTGGATCGCTCGTTTCATGGATCGGCGCAAACGGGGCCAGATGACAATCAGAGGTGGTGGAGAAAAACGGCTCGTCAGAACGCGTGGGGCTGGGATATGGCAGAGCATGGTAGGTTGTGCAGCTACCTCGAGGCTGCCGGGGGCGTGGGCCAGCTGGACCTGTCGCACCCTGTCGCAATGGAGAGGGTTGCTCACAGGCTGCAAGCCATAGATTACCAGAGCGCGGAGCGGGGGGGAGATGGAGTGCGCGGTGGGTCAGCAGGTGCGTCTTCATCTGTTGCTGGCAGCGCCGCGATCGCGATCGACGAGGTGGACCTGTTCGGGGATAGATATCGCGTCAGCCCCGCGGCGCATTGCCTCTCTCACCTTGGTCGAGCGCGCCGGCAAGGGGCCCGAGACGGGAGCGCGCATCCAAAATCAAGCGCGCAAAGCACTTGAAGAACGGGCCAGCCTGCGCCGGCCCCCCAGGCAAGAGTGGGGGCAAGAAGGGGTGGGCACGCGCGGGGCTGCGTGAGACGACCGCCGTCGGCTGCCTAGCAAGGTGAGAGGCCGACGTGCTAAGGGCATTATTTCGAGGCGCTCGTTGGGTCAGCTACTCTGCACGTCGACAGCGGCCTGGCTCTACTCGCTTCGCGCGAAAGCGTCGGCGTCGTCGACGTCTTTCAGTGCGCAGCGTTCGCAGGGGCTGACCAGCCTTCCAGTCTCCTCAGAGCGGTGGGTGAGCAGGTTAATTCACGATGCGGCTTTCGTCCATTCGGAGAAGCATCTCGGTGGAGCCACTGATCCCCGTGCAGGTGCTGCCGGCATTTTGGGCCAGGTGGAGATGGGCTACCTCCGAGAGCGTCGCGGTGGGATGGACCGCCCCCCCCCCCGCTGGAGTTCAGCGGGCCGACG